TATATATTGATGGTATGTAAGGAATGCCGAGAGCCGCTGTATCAAATATTGCAATCTATGTTCTATAATATTGCTCTATTTACAACATAATACAATGTGAAAGACATTTAACGCAACTGTGCAAAAATTATACTTTTTAGTGAAAAATAGTATATTTTAATATGGATTAAGCGAAATCTCGATAACGCAAACCGCTTAAATATGCGAGAAGAATTTCTTGCAACTTTCTTGGGAACAGCGTTGCGATAATTTCATCGAATCGCTGGAGGAATAGAATCGTGCTAAACGTCCGCGATTATCGATTGATGTTAAACAATCGTTGATCGCTCGTATTGCGAGATTCGAAAATTTGAAAGATACTGTGCGCGAATGTTTTGTGCAAGTGGGTGCCGGATATAGCGCTTCGATGGCGCGAGGTTGATACAGCGTTCGAAAGCCGTATTGACCCGTAATAAACTCTGAACCTCGCCAATTCCTCGAAGATGCAAGAGAGATAGTGCTGAAACGTATGCAAAGAAACATGATAATCAAGATAAACAGTGTTTTATGGTGAATTTGTATCGGGTGATAAAAGTGTGCGAATAAAAGTATGAGCACGAGAAACTATGAACTCTTCCGTTCGTTTGTTTTGTAAGAATGGTACGCGTCGCGCGTGGTCGAGCCTATCCTGACATCGCTGGAGGAATTCCAGGAATACGATAGCAGATGGACACTATCTTGAATTTAACTGTAAACGTAAACAAGTACAATCCGTTGCATGCGGAATGTCGCATTGAACTCTCGCGAGAAATTAAAATGAAAAGAGCGGTGATCAACGTGCGATCCATGGGCAATGCATGTTTTGCCGCTCTACATCCAACTAAAAAGCATACGGAGCGAGAGTCATCATATCCGCATTATTCTACAGTGCTAAATCTCACAGGAATCCAGTTTCTAATGATATTGAATCAAATTAAAAGATTTGAAAGTCTCAATCCATCAATGTTTACTTTATCGAGGAGCAAAAAGAAATTTTTCCCTTATGGCTCACCGAAAGAGGTAAACACGTCAATCTCTTGTATAGGATCAATGCAACGATAATACAGGACATTTTGCATGGATCAAGTTTTATCTCGCCTTGAGATCACAAATTACAGCAACGAAGAATAGAATATATTTCTATGATAGATTCGTATACATTTAAAAAAGAAAAAAATTATAAATATTTTCAGCAACACTTTTTTTTTAACAATAATAAAAATTTGTATTATTTTCCAATGCCTGCACTATTTATATACAAGTACGAAATTGAAGATCCACGTAATAGACTGTGGAAATTTAACACCTGCGCGATTTGGCTGCCCAGTGAGGACAACAAATGATTGAGCTTCAGCATCTACTGCAGAAAGGAACGCGTCCCATTTGTATATGCCGAGTTGGAATGCATACTGGAAAGAATGGAAAAGAAAAATATGGAAACATTAAGCAGCACGTACCAACATCAGGTTTTCAGTATAACGTACTATGTTCATTGCTCGTACGATGATTCGCTGTCGAAGTATCGGTTTCGTCGTGATAACGATTGCATAGCATAGTTCGCCGAGGAATTAAAAAATTTAGCATATAATGTCAAAACTATCTTAGCTAACCTTTCCATGATTTTACAAGAGACGATTGGATAAAATTTAACTACATATTATCATGTGTGTGAGAAGCTGTTCGCAAAAGATAACATACGGGTACGCAATCATTACCATCTCATCGGGCGATATAGAAATCTCGCGCATTTAAATTGCAAACTTAAATTACAAAGATTCACATTGCATAATTTTTCATAATTTATCGGGATACAACGCACATTTCATCATAAAAGAAATAGCCACAGCTTACGAAGGATGTGTAGATTTATTATCGATAACGAAAGAAAAATACATATCATTTACGAAACATGCCAATAGCACTATAGATAAAAATGATCAAAAGAAAATTTGTATAACATTACGTTTTATTGATTCATTTAAATTTCTTGTATCAAGTTTAGAAAAATTAGCGTTGTATCTCGATAAAAATAAATTACGGATAATGCAACGTGAATTTTTTAATTTATCTGCAAAAAATTTCGATTATTAACGTGAAAGGTATATTTTCGTACGAATATGTTGAATGCGTCGAAAAGTTGGAGGAAGCTGAGTTATCATCACGCGAAACTTTTTATAGTTCGTTGACAGGTGGTACCGTATCCGAAAGCGACTATGCACACGTCGTGAATATGGCGATTCTTCGAATATAGCGATCTGTACTTAAGAACAGATGTATTGTTGACTGATATATTTGAGAATTTTCGGGATAGTTGCATCACGAGTCTTGCAACTCGTGATGCAACTATTATACTCGATCCTGCGTATTATTACCCCGGATTTTATGTGGGACGCGATATTGAAACATACTCGCGTCAATTTCGAACTTCTTACCGATGTTGACATAGTTCTATTCATTGAACGTGGTATACATGGCGGTCTGAGTCAATGTTCAAACATATGCGTAGGCCAATAACAAGTACATGTAATCGTACGATCCATCGAAACCATCGACATAACTGATGTATTATGATGTCAATAACCTGTATAGTTGTCAACCATTGCCATACGCTGGATTTTCGTTGGATCGACAACGTAGACAATTTTGATGTTATGAATGTCACATTAGATTCACCAATAGATTCTCAAGGTTAACTTGGAGTATCTGCAACATGTCCATGATCGCACTCCATTCTACCGTTTTGTTCGCGCGAGAAATCACTCGGCAAGCGAGAGGAGAAGCTTCTCGCAACATTGTATAATAAAAAACGTTACGTCTTATCTCCATGATTTCGCGAGTATATCGAACTTAATACAAATTTTAAAACTTTAGCAATGATGAGTTCGAGAAAAACTTATTCAAATTAATGAACAACGCGATTTTCGGCAAGACCATGGAGAATGTGCATAACCATTTTAATGTGCAACTCGTAATGCGTTGGGATGGAAGATACAGTATAGAGACAATGATCACAAAACCAAATTTTCACAGTAGAAGCGTTTTTTCCGAGAACATGGTCGTGATAGAAATGCGGAAAGTGAAGTTTGACAAACCGATATACGTGGGTATGTGCATCCTCGATATCTAAAAACATGTTTATACGAATTCTCCACGAATACATATTATCGCTCTTTCATGAAAAATGTAAAATTATATATATCGATAGTCTTATTTATCACATCGAGTGCGACGATGTCTATGCGACTGTTATGAAACGCGATATCAATAGATTCGATTACGCGATCGACAATTACAACATTCCGCTAGTAAATAAAAAAGTTCCTGATTTAATGAAAGATGAAAACAATGCGATTATGACCGAATTCGTCGGGCTTAGAGCGAAAATGTATGCCTTGCGCGTCGATGGTAAAAAAGAAAGTGCTAAGAAAGTAAAGAGCAACGTTGTAGCGGGATCCATAACTTCAATGATTGTATGCAGTGTCTCACTGACACAAATGACGTATAGGCAGTAGTGCATGAGATCGAAATTGCATGAAGTACACCATATCCGAAACGAAAATCACTCTGAGTCCATACGATAAGTGGTACATTGTTCCAGATTCTATCGACGCTGCCATGGGGATATTATAAAATATTATTATAAAAAAATTCATTTCTTTTTTTGTATTTATGTATTCTTTTATTAATAAAAACATACTTATGATGTATAATATATTTAATATGTATATTATGTATATTATGTTTAGTACGTATAATGTGTATATTATGTATGTATTTGTACGTATGTATATACATATTACAATATTGAAAAAAAACTACATCGAGAGCGGATGTATTTATAGTAGCGCGCAAAACGAAATCGCTCAGTATTCAAAATGTTTCTTATCGTCAGACAACTGTGATGTACATAGTTGATGTACATAATTTAACGGCTAAAGAGTTAAAATATATGCCGAATGTTATTTTACTACGAGAATTTAATTACATAGATCAACTATGGGACCGATTACCCGATCATATAAAGGCTGATTCAGAGGTTCAGCAACAGCGATGCTTGAAATATTATAATTTGCTCTGTTATCAATTGCATATTGATGGTCCAGCGCCATTTATAAAAAAACTGTAGCAAACAAATAACAACAATAACAACAACAACAAGAGGCTGCGATTTTTTAAATGCACTTCCGATCGAGTTGCATATCCCCAGATATCAATTTTGTGATCCAGGTTTGCATTTAGAAAAGCGATTGGCGATCGACGCATTAATCCGTTGGACGCGGCGTGTCGCGAACACGACATAGCTTACCATATTCGCAGAGCAAAGATCTCATGACACGAAGTTGACAAAATATTCGCTGAGGAGGCGCGAAAACGAATTACCGCGAAAGATTCGACTCTTGGAGAAAGAATTGCTACCACAGTTGTTGGGCGGCTATAAAAGCTAAAACGAAAATTGATATGGACATGAAAACGAAGAAGAAAAAGGCGACGAAAAAACGAATATTAACGGTGGCATAATGCGGTGGTATTACTTACCTATTCTACCGCTATTGGAAATCTTCGGCTCGTTGGTCTGCGACACGACAAGAGTCACAAAAGCTATAAACGATAATAAAGTCATGCAACGTCAGTTGGAAAAATTGAAACGTCATAATCGCGTCATGAAAAGTCATGGAGTTTATCTCGCTCCATGCGAATGTGGAGCATTACAACGGAAAAAATAAAAAAGATTAAAAAAAAACGCTAAACAGCCGAAGGGTGTAACTACAATTGTGTCTACAGTTTTTACAGACGATTGACGATCAATTTAAGAATTGACATTGCACTTTTTCAACTCAGTATTCATTTAAATATGTCACTGACATTTACGCTCACCAGTAAGATTAGTCCTCGCGGCCTGTTATTTTCTGGCCGTAGATTTGAGCAATGGCGATTACGAGCTCGGTTTGATGGACTTTGAAACCTACCATACGATATCTAATGTAAATTCATTGAATAATAAGTTTTACTTTGATAAAGAAATTGTCATTCCTGAAGGATCATACGAAATATATGACATAAATAAGTTTCTAAGACGTGCAAATTTTATCCTAATGATGTTGTGACAGAGAAAACGCTTCGCAAAGAGGATGAACAATACCCATTGACTATTCATGCCAATAACAATGCAATGAAGAGTGAGCATTTATCAAGTCAATTTCACCAAATCTCACAATATTGGATCGCTGTTGGAATTTTCATCGAATCGTGCTGGAGTCATCACAGTTGCACGAATCAGACATACCTATCATCATATAAATATCATCAAATGTAAATATTATTCGCATTGAATGCTCGTGATCATGAGTGCATACAGCAATGATAAGTCCGTTTACATGATACATGAATTTTCACCAAGCGGATCACTAGGATCTAAGATATCGGAAAGACCATACAGATCATTTAACTTCTGTTCATTATACGTTATGGATCTGACGATTCGCGTTGTGGATCAAGACGGACGATTGCTCGATTTTCGCGGAGAAGAAATCATCATTAGATTGCATGTACGGAAGCGACAGCGATAAAGAAATACAACAACGGTAACATGAGATGCTTGTTTTGAACGAGCAAATGAGACAGAGGACATAATTTTTGCCAGAGAGACGACAGCGAAATCAAAAATATTCGAGCGTCCAATAAAAAGAAACTCACTGCGTCGTTAAATTTTTACAATCATTGGGCTTTGTTGTACGAAATATCTGAGATGGTTAATATCTTGAATATTGGAGGCGAACCAATCTTTGACGATCGCATCGTCAAGTTCGAATTTCACATTTACAATCCGTACGTCACATTTGGACATAGCGACGAGATATGGATACCCATACAACAGCAGGATTTATACACGCTACCGTGTGAAAATGTTCTCTGCGTCGAAAATAGATTGACATCAAAGGAAAGAGATCAATAAAAACAGCTAATAATTGGAAATAATTGCATGACGTTCATGTTTGATGAAATTCGATATGAACTCAATGGTATGGAGATTGATTGCAGCAGAAACGATAACTAGTCTTATGAAGAGTTATGCAACGTTTTCTAATGAAATCGCATATAATATGCATAATACTGAATTTATCAACTGTAGTGATACCGCGAAAAGTCTAATGATAGACGATAGATATTTTAATTTTTGTGTACCACTCAGCATATTAGGTGTACAACTTTGCTTCCGCCGTTTTCCTATAGATGGCTTTAGTGGTAAGTGGTGGTCGAAATGAATAGATCATAGACGTCATACAATAAACTTGGGCATCTGTCAACATAACCCCATAGAAACATTAGTCGATTTGTGTCTGCATCATAAAGTTATTCTCGATTGAAAATGTCAGTTTACGAGCCAAATTCTCGTCATTTGCGGGAGGTTTTAATTTTTTGCTTCAATATGAAAAAATTTGCGGCTGAGGCTCATCGAATGCTCTCAAATACTTATGGTGAGGCCGCTATTAGTGAAAGAACGTGTGATTTCAACGCTTCAAGAACGGTGATTTTGACGTCCAAGATCATGCTCTGTATTTGGTGGGACCAGCTCGGCGTAGTGTATTATGAACTGTTAAAACCGACTGAAACAATCACAGGCGATCGGTATCGAACGCAATTGATGCGTTTGAGCCGAGCATTGAAAGACAAACGGTCGCAATACAACGAGAGACACGATAAAGTGATTTTGCAGCATGACAATGCTCGACCCCATGTTGCGAAAGTGGTCAAGACATACTTGGAAACGTTGAAATGTGAAGTCCTACCCCACCCGCCGTATTCTCCAGACGTTGCTCCCTCTGACTATCATTTGTTTCGATCAATGGCACACGGCCTGGCTGATTTCCGGTCTTATGAAGAAGTAAAAAATTGGATTGATTCATGGATAGCCTCAAAAGATGACCAGTATTTTCGATGCGGGATTCGTACGCTACCCGAAAGATGGGAGAAAGTAGTGGCCAGCGATGAACAATACTTTGAATCATAAATGTATAACCAGTTTTTTACAATAAAGCCTCGAATTTCGGGAAAAAACGGCGGAAGCAAAGTTGTACACTTAATATTATTGGACTTTTGCGAGGATTACAAATGTGTGATAATTAACGCTTATCACGAATTAATTTTGATACGAACAACGGTAACAATTACATAGTGGGAAATCCAGCTACAAAGCCGACGCTTAAATTATTCATAGTGGCGAATACCTCATGTTGCGTTGAAGTTAATAAACTATCTATGCTGCGTGCTTTAGAGAGTAGACGATATCTGAGTTTCCGTTCGTGGGATTTGTATGAGTACTCCCTATTACCGAGTACAATGAAACATTCCTGGACCATCTGCGACTCAGCTGGAAAAATCACGATACGTTATCTTTGGTCTACAGACTGATAAAAAAAATATCACATGACAGCACATAAAATTTACTTCGACACTTGTAAATTAACCAATATGAAACTTTATCTAAACTCTGAATTTTATTTGAATCTAGACTTTGACAACGCAGAGCCACTATTTTGTATGATATTTACGTTTTTGTTTTTTATGTCTTATTATCAAATTCTTTTGAAAGAAAAGAATCATCATTCCAATTATATATATTTTTTTAAAGTTTTACTCTAGTAATCACTAATTGCTCGCGACAAAACAAGTTCGTTAAGAGTGGCACTGTGGATGTATGATTAGAATTTGAATTCAAAGAGAATGTACCCGCGAATACAACCGCCTACTGCCTTATCATACCGACTATGATTGAACATAGTCCAATGTCAAATGTAGTACGCAAGATTACGTAAATTATCATCACCAAAAAAATACCCTCCCTCTCTTTTTAATATATGAGATAAAATCCAAGATTTTTTGTGGTCAAGTCTCAAAGAGTCGTTCATCATATACCAACTATATCAATGTTTGTACATCTGCAAGGATTTATCGTTGGAAAGAAATTTGTCTTGAAGGAAGTTGTATTAAAAGATATTGATAAAAAAAGAATATTATTATAATTAGTGTTACTGATTTATATTATTAAAAATTCTTAAAAATTATTATTATTAGAATATTATTATAATTAGTTTCTAAGTT